TTGTTGCATATAACAATAGTTCATTACTAACTTATGTGATTTTTTGATAGTCCATTATAAAATATGACCACGTTTAATGACCTTCATAATTCAGTGAACCACTATTTTCCAAATGACCCATGCATGGGAAAGACCCATTCAAAGTGCAAGATACACCAATGCATTTTAATGGGACAGTGTGAAAAGGTCATTGACACAGTTTCAGTTTCCACAATGCAATTAACCTTTGAGAAAAAACCACTTGTAGAGTTTTGGTGTAGTATCAAAGAAGAACAGCCTCAAGGCTATTGAATTTCTCTTTCCTTTTCCAGCTAAATATCTCCATGAGGCCAATTTTCTTCTTCTGTTTCAACTTAAAAAGCCACATCATAACAGATTGAATGCAGAGGCCGATATGGCTATCTCATATTAAGCTGGCCATTAAACACATTTACAGAAATGTGAAATAATGTCACTGTTCACTAATTTTTTTTCTTTGGAAAATATAGTTGTTTTTCTCAAAATACTATCTTAGGTTAACATGTAATAGGTTTTATTATTGTTATCTTAGATGAATTAATTGATAAATATTTAAACAAATTTTCGGTTTTAATTTCTAATAGGATAAGTATTAATAGGTGTAACCCAGATAAACAAAAGCTCTTGGGGGTTATCGATAATTTTTAAGGGCATAAAGGGGTCCTGAGACCAAACAGTTTGAGAATGGATCTAGTGGGTGGTTAGGCATTTAACACATAAGCATACACCTAAGTACGTAATTGTAAACCGTGGCGAGTGATAGAAAGGAGAAGAACAAGGTGCTAAGAGATGAGCCAAAGACCTATTAGATGCGGGAAGATGGTGTCAGAAGAGTCTCCTCTGAAAGTGCAGGACCAGAAGAACCAGATGGGGCAGAGATCATTGTGGGCAGCAGCCACAGCACGTGCAAAGGCCCTGAAGTGAGGGTGGGCTTGGTCTGGGCGGAGCACAGTGGGGAAGAGAGTGGCCTGAGACGAGGTGGGAACTGAGTCCTACGGGCTCTTGTAGATCATGTTACGATTTCGGCACTTTGTCGTAAGTACGTCAAAATGGCTCTATGCTGTAGTATCAGACTCAAATTTTAGCAAGATAACTATTGCTGTGTTGAAAAAGTATGGAAGGTGACAAGAGAGAAGGTGGAGGGAGCTCTAGGATGGCTGTTTGGATAGTCCACTGGAGGGACAGTGGCACGCAAAGGGGGCTTCTTTGGCGTTAACTTCACAGCTCTCACTGCCCCCATGGGCGTGGAAGAGAGACAAAGACTCCTAGGTTACAGCAAGACTACCCACCGTGCGGCGACACCCATGGTAAGTGTCACGAAGATTCACATCCATTATCTCATTTTATAATTACTTACTGTTTTTGTGTGTGTGACTAAATTGCCTGCATTTATTTTGATGATTATATTTGATAATGAGATTGAAAAAAGTCACTCTCATAGCACCACCTTGTGGACAGTATGGGAAGATTTTTTTTATTGGGTTCAGTAACGGGGAAAAAAAAAGTTCTCCAGAAGGTTTACCATTTATCAGCCACGCCAAGTCCTGCTTGCAAGGAGAGAGGATATGAATACATTCAACAGAAGTAGCGTTAAACTGACTATCCTGGAAATAACTGGCTGGATTTATTCAAACTTGATCTTCTCTGGTTGATTTTCACAGAGTCATTGACTGAATATACCTCTTATTTACATATCACCTGACCGCCACCTCCTCCAACTCCATCAGCTCCTTCTCTGCTCCTTTCTGGGCTCTTTGTCCCTTACTTGATTCTGACCCTGGAATTTCTCAGGCCTCCGTTTTAGGCCCAGCTCTCTTCTTGCTCCACGCTCCCCACAGGCAATTTTGTTCCAGACCGTCATGGCGCCCACCATCAGTGCCTGCCATTTCTCCGGTCCAAACCTCTCTGAGCTCCCCATCGCTCTTTCTAACTCCCCCTCTGCCTCTCCGCCTGAATATTCCGTGTCCAGGACTGACCTGCGTTTCCTCCTTCCACCTCTGCCGTCCTTGCAGTGTTTCCGAACTCAGTGAAAGCAGAACCTTCAACCCAGTCTTCACACCAGACACTCGGAAGTCATCCTTGATCCCTCGGCCCTCACCTCTCCGCCCCGCGCAGTCAGTCTCTCACCCTTGTCTATTTCACACACTGAGTGGCGTCTCCAGAGTGGCGCACCTTGCTCTCCCGGCGGCCCCATGGCGCCCCGGTCCCTCAAGCACGTTGACCACAGGGATTCTCACCTGCTCGTCCCTGGTCCCCTCCCCTAGTTATCTCCATTCAGCCCTCCTACCTCCTCTTAACCGTCTGCCCTCAGAGATGCCTTTTCCTGAACTTCCGGGCCTTTAGTATGAGACATTACACATCAGAAACCCCTTCCCTCTCTTCCCTTGTCTCAGTTTTCAATTTATGTTCGCTAAAGTGATTTTTGACTCAGGCCGTGCCCCCAGGAGAGGCGGAGCTCCGTGAGAGAAGAGAGCCGTGGCCGACTTCCCTCGCTGTGTCTCTTGGGCTCCCGGGAGATGTTAACCAACGTTCCTGAATGAATGAATGAATGAATGAACAGTTGTGTCTCTGAGGCCCTGACAAGGCAATGACAACAGTCAATGGTTTATATTGCTCTCCTGTAAATAAAGTCGGATGCTGGTGTGACCGAAGGGTGCCCGTAACCTGGACGGCGTGATGCCAAACCCAGCCAGTGTGCGGGCAGGGCATCTCCCGCCCGGCTGCCCCCAACCTGGTCCCACGTGGTCTTGTGACAGTGGTGAGCATGTACTTGAAGAAATGATGCACACGTCTTTTCTAAGAACAAGCAGTAATATTGAGGGACATACCCATCCAAGTCGATGTTTAAGAAAAAGAAAAGTATTCGCATTCACTTCAAGGGCCTGGTCCCCCTAAAGACACAGTCAATTTAGGTAACTATGCAGAAAAATTAGTAGCTCCACCTTCAAGCTAGTAGCTTTCTCCTGCTTTATGTTTGAGAAGCTGAAAGGACAATGAAAATCATTTTTCTAAAAACACAGAACGTTCCAAGGTGAACTGATGGTCCCAGAAAATTTCTAGCTACTTTTAAATAACTTCTTTCCACCTTAAAAGGAAAAATTCAACTGTTCCTGGATGCCCTGTTTACAAGATAAAATAAAAACTCATTTTCACTGAACATTGACATGCAAAGTGATTAATACCTTTATATATCAAGATTATTATACTTTTATATGTCAAACATAGGCACTTAATCTTTCCTCTATTATTTTACTTATTTATAGATTTGTTCCAGGAATAATTTAAAACAGGTTACAACAACATATAAAATATGGCAAAATAACATAAATTATAAATAAATTAAAAATTCAAAGGAAAAATAGGGTAGGGACAGACAATAGATTCAGATATGAGGCCAATTAAAAAATGCTTTTTGTAAGGACTAATACACTGCAGGCAGCACTGCTGGCTGTCTACACAGCAGTCATCCTGCCCTTCCCCCTTCTACATACGGAGCCCTGACTTTGTCTGGTATCAAGTATTCCGTTCCTGGTCCTGGAGGATGAAGCAGGCCCGGTCTAAGAGAGTCGTGGACCGCAGCTGGACCGTCCTTGTTGGAAGGGAGCGTCCGTACTGTGGGAGACACGTGGAGTGAGACCTCTCCCTTGTGGCTGGAGCTTTCTCGTTGATGCACTTGCTATGGTTTCTCCTTTGGCTCTATGCTTTCCAGCAGTCCACTCCAAAAGGGACTTTCAGTTAGAAACAACTCAGTGTCTGTAAGACAAAAACAGGCCTGCACCTCAGGACAAGCACAATGTCACTAAGACTAAGGCCAGCTAAGACGAGAGTCTGTAGGCATCCACTCATTTGTCCCACGTATTTAAAACCCTGAATGAAAACGTTCAATGATAAAGATACCGTCATCAGCAATCCAAGCCAAATTGGCTTTCTCTTTTGACATAATTTATTATTCACCTTGAAGTTTCATTTTCTACATGCTCCTTAAATTAAAACATTATTCTTTGAGCCAAATGAAAATGCATTTAACAAATTAATTTGGACAACGGGTGCAGAAAAGTTGTTCTTTGCAAACCAACCTTTGGCTTGTGAATGCAAAGCCTGAAGTCGCTGAGTTGGCAGAGCAGTGGGGCAGGTAGGAAAAAGGTCCAGATGGTTCCCACAGATTTACACAGAATATGTGTCTAGTCTGTATTTCGTCAGAAAAAATGTAGGCCTTCGGACAGGGAAATATCATATTCTGAACAGAATTGTTTTCCCCTTTGAAATAGAACGTAAGAGATTTTATTTTTATATAATTTTATATATATATTTTATATATATATATAGTATTTTATGTATAATTTTGTTTTGTCTGGGAATCAGCCTTCTTTCTCAGTTTATCTGTTTGTCTGTTTGTATATTTATATTCAACTTATAAAGAAAAGAAACCAACCTGGCACTGAGAGAAGGAATGTCTCCTTCTGCATGCTCATCTTGATGACTTGAACCCACGAGTCAACCACTAAAGCTGCTAGCCTCCCAGGAATAGCCCCCCTCTAGCCTGAAGAAGCCCATTTACTGTTTTAATGACAAGAACTTGCTAATGAGGGCATGTGAAATGTAACCTCGGCAAGGAAATCTCTGAGAGGGCTCTCGTTCTTGCCATAACTGAAATCTCATGACGCTCTAATGATGACCTCATCCCGGAATGAAAGCTCGCTGCCTGCTTCTGTAATCCTCGGGGAGAATCTCACCAAAAGAAGACTAATTTGGAAACAACATGCTGGAAAGAGACTTCATTTTCTCCTTTGAAGAAAGTGAAGAAACCCGTCTCTGTGAGTAGAGACCCAACTGGAAGGACCATGTATCTCCTACAACACCGATAGCAAGTGCGGAGGCTTCACAGAGACAAAAAATGAAAACAGTTGCTAATGGGGTTTTCCGTGGGGCTGTGAATGAGGACTGTAGAAGTGAAATGGTCTCCCACAAGTTAGGCTTTGCGCCCCAGCAGCTCTGCCCCCAGACTTCAGTGCACACCCTGGCTTTCTCTTTAGAAAAAGGGAACAGTTCCGTTCCAGTTGATGGTGGCCTCTCTCCACTTGGTTCTGATGGCCATCTCCACTGGAGAAAAGCGTCTTCCTGGTCTGTGTTCATCTTCATGTGAGTCCCTTTCCCAGTGATGAGAGTGAGTATCTGAGGGAGGAACAGCCGGCATTTAGACTGAGCCTTAGTACACCATTCCAGGGGAAGCCAGGAAGGAAGGAAAAAAGCATGAGTGGGAAGGAGTTGGGCTCAGCAAGCTGTGCTCCTACAACTGGTTAAGCAGAGGGAGAGTCCCATAGATGGCATGTTGAAATGTCCCATAAAAAACAGGTCTGTGGAAACCTGGGTTGTCACCACATGAATACTGGAATGTGAACATTGATAAGTCATGCAATGCACATTCCAGGATGTGACACATAGAGCCAGGTGTAGGTCACCAGATGTTGTCAGGAAAAACAGGAAAAGGGAGGGCTCACCACTTCTCAAGGCTTCTGAGAGCATATTTGCATTTTGGGGTGGAAGGTGAGGCATTCTAGTGAGGTGGTCAAGAGCTGGGTTCAAGGTCCATGTTTGTTTAGTAAAAGCCAGGTGACATTTGAGAAAGTACTTAACATCTCTCAGCCTCATTTATTCAACTTGTAACTATTGATTGGCACCTGGATTTCCTCTCTATAAAATTAGGTATCGTGGTATCTGCAGCATATGACTGTTGGGAGAATTTAATGCGATAATGTACGCAAAGCTTTCAACGCAGTGCCCAGAACAGAATGCTCATATGCACATGAGCAAATGAAAAAATGATGCTTTCCTCAAAGAAGAGAGTAAAGCAGAAAGGATAATATATTTTGAGGAACATATTGTCAATGTCTCACTAAATTTAATGGGTTAATATATATTTCTCATAATTAAAGAAAAAGAATCCAGAGCTGCACAGATAAAGCAGTCACTAATATACTTTTCCAATAATGAAAAGTTGCTTAACGCCGGGCCTGTGATGCTAAATGCGAGGAATCAACATCAAATCCACAAAGTTCCGTCAGAAGAGCCGGAGACAGACTCCCAGACTCATCATATTTCTGTCCAAAGGGCTAGTGTTTAAAAACATCTTCAGGTTAATCTTTTTTCCTCATGAGTTAAAAAAAAATATGGTTTTACCGGAAATGCAGTGAGCTGTGTGGTTGTCTGCCTCTCCGGCTGGACGGGAACCGCCTGAGGTTTGCTGGGGCTGTGCCTTAGGGACGGGTGCTTTCCTAGCATCTGTACAGTGTCTGGCATATGGTAGTCCCTCGAAAATGCTTTTTTGAATGAATCTGAACAGAAATGCACTATCAGTTTGGTTACTTATGTCACTGGACGATCATCTGATGTTTGGTTTGGGGACAGAATTGGCCAATTGGGTCCCCCATCCCTTTGTTTTTCCAGTTCTTTCCTCAGGTGTTAAACACCTCGTGCTCAAAGATAAAAGACGCTGGGGAAGGCTTTTGGAAATCTGACCTTTAGTTTTTGTTTTTTCTCTTACCTAACAGCTGTTCATTCCTCTGTCCCACTTCTAACTCCCCCCTACCCCCTCCCCTACCCCTTACTTAATGCTGGTTCAGAATTCCTAGGTCACAGTGCCTGGGTTTACACCCGTGGGGTTCATGCATGGGTTTCATTTCAGAAATCATGCCTAAGCATTTTCCTGCAGAGGCAGCATGAGTATCCACACGGCTGTTAAACCTCTGCAGCCGTGTGCCTCTGAGCATATTACAGCACGGCACTTGGGCTCCGCTGTGCTCACCTACAGTAAGAAGCACAGGCTTCTTCTGCGAGGGCTGGCCACTGAGGAAGTGCAGGTCGAAGAGACGCTCCATTTTCCAGTCTGATAAGAGCTGCCTGTTGGTGCTAAAAAGGATGCTGTAATTTCCATTGATGCTGCACAGCCAAATAGGGAATCGGGGAGTCTTCAGCATGCTGCCCACCTGGAAGGGGACAGGGGAATGTAGATGAATATATGTTTTTTCCCCACTGCAACAGATGCTGACACGTTGTGAGGATCAGCAAGCTGCTCTGAGTCTTCTCGTTGTACCGGCAGCCGCACCGGGCACCGTGCAGAGGAACATTTGAAACGAAGGCTTCGTAGTGAATGAATTTGCATGTGTGAATGGTGTGGCCTGGGGATGACGCTGCAGGTTTTTTCTTAATGGATTTTATTTAAAAAAAAATTGGGGGAGTGGTTTCATGGAGGAGGTGGAATCACCTTAATTTGGTTTTGAAGTAAGGTCAAGAATAAAGAGAGAAACTGAAATATGAGTGTTTGGGTGGAATAAGAACTTCAATCTGTCCTTGTCATCAACTCCGTGTATTTACTCCTGTTCCCAAGATAGGACATTTCATCCAGCAGGTGGTCAGACTTCTGGCAACACTAACCATTTAGAACATAGGAGATAAAAGAATATTTAGAATATAGAAAGAATATTTTGAATATAGAAAATTTCTGGGAAATGAGGGCAACACACACACATATACACATATCTGCATGTTACCACGTAGATCAATAGCAAAGATATACTTAGAGCTGAGCGCACCAGTTTAATATTACGGGGAATATTAAGTTTACTGTTTGAACCATCTGTTTTTTCCAGGCACCTGTAAATTGGGCCTGAATTCTCAGACCTAGCGAATTAGATTCACCGAAGCAGGAAAAGGGTCACTTCAGTCACCCCTGAGGGTGTGACAATACCACGGCACATTTCTATTAATGATATCCACCATTTTGTTTAAGGAGTCAGGGAAGAATACATTTCTTAAAAGATTGCCATCATAACTCATTAACATCAAAACTAATTTTTTTCTACTTAAAGAGATAAACATGAGCTACACGGAAAAACCATCATTTCCACATGATGCCAGGGACAGCCACGGGACCCCCAGCCTTGGCGTGTCTTCCCATAACTGAAGGATCTAATTCTGCTGTTTTTCTTTTCAGTCTGCAGAGTTGTACTGTGTGGTGAGGAACAAATTCTGCTTTATGGAAAATCCCACTTTGAAAAATTATCCTGTGTTTCATAAACCCAAGTATTAAAGGCTAATAATTTGACATTTTGATTTCTCAATAGTTCTATTCAAATCTCTCTGTTTTTCTTTCGTTTAAATTCTTTAGTTGTGGGTGAATCAGAGATGCTTTTGTCTAAGCTTTTCACTTTTAACTACCACAGAAAAATTATATTACTGCGTTTGGAAAAAATGACCTCAGTTTTAGCTGATTGTTTAAAAAACGGTACAAGCCTAGCTCCCCAGTCTGGACACGCTTGTAGTGGGGCAGGATTTGCTCATCTGCTCACACGAGAAGTAGCTCCTCTGGGCTGAGTATAAAACGAACATCTGACATAGCAAACACAGGGCAAGCCACCCACCGGCCACATAAGAAATAAAACACAGAGGACGTGCCTATGGAGCAGCCGCGAGTGTTTACGGTCCAGAATCCACCCCCAAGTTCCAAATAACATTGTAACCACTTATTCGTTATAAAATAAACACTTTCTTTCTTAGGCCTGCTTGCAATGGCACCTTCTGTACTATGGTTGTGTGGAATCAAAACATGATCCTCCAGGGCCAGCCCCATGGCCGAGTGGTTAAGTTTGTGCGCTCTGCTCAGGCGACCCAGAGTTTTGCTGGTTCAGATCCTGGGTGCGGACATGGCACCACTCATCAGGCCATGCTGAGGCAGCATCCCACATGCCACAGCTAGAAGGAGGATCTGGAACTAGAATATACAACTATGTACTGAGGCGCTTTGGGGAGAAGAAGAAAAGAAAAAAAAAAGATTGGCAACAGATGTTAGCTCAGGTGCCAATCTTTAAAAAAAAAAAACCCATGATCTGCAGGACATGGAATTGTTAAGGTTGGAAAACTTGCATAAATGAATTAGGAAGTTGAGGGCTGTTAGTAATAAAATGCCACTCCATTTGGGATATCCTTGCTGATTTTAAATCAACGAAAGTTCCTGTAAGCTATGTCTGGGTGGCTGTCACAGAATATAGACATTTATGATACTGTTTCACAGAATCTTTGTAATGTAGGCGAAATTCAGCTGGCGCTCAGATGAATATACTCTGCAAGGTGCTGACATCACATCATTGTTATTTTATGCAACAATGCAACAGTTTTCTTTCCTGAACTCGAAGCTACTCAAGATCTTGTTAGAGTAGGAGGAAAATAAAGTAGCCACAAACACCACAACCTCCAACCCCCAAAGATACCATGCAGAGCCCCTGCCCTGAGCAGGCAGAGCCTTGCTGGCCTTGAGAGATTCTGGAGAAAAGGAAAAGTCATGTGCGACTGTCACGGCGCTTTGGACATTAACTCTGAGAGGTGAGGACGCACCTGGTTTAAAGTGAATCCTACAAAAGCAAAGCAGTGCCCCTCCCCCGTGAATCCGGCCAAAGATTACACCTGTCTTTTCTCAGCACGCCATAGAATCTGTTTGCCTGAAATTTTCAGTTAAGAATTTGTACTGCTTTTGAATAGACAGTTTATCAGCTAAGCCCCCAAAGCAGGATTCTAAATATGTTTTATTGGTGAGATTCCACCAATGCAGAATTTGTGCATGTTGCCTTGTGTTGCCATGGTAAAAAGGAAATTAAATTGCGATACAGTGGTGCTATAAATAACATACCTTCCTCCGTAAGTTCACTCCTTGTGTAACAAGCCCAGTAGTTTCAGCTTTACATGGAGCCATCAAGCCTTTCACGACATGTATCATTTAAGCCAAGGTACAATCGTAAGGACAGGAAGAAGGATAGACAGATTCCTAACACTAGATGGCAAGGATGGAGTCCATGTAATTCTTTTTTACACCATTTAGAACAATGGCGCTTAGAATGAGCCTCTGTGGTGTACACCTGAAATTTATATAATGTTATAAACCAGTGTTACCGCAATAAAAAAAAAAAAAAGAATCTGCCTCTACATAATGAGCTTGATATTGCAAGTCCCAAGGCCCCAGTCTGGAAATCTGAACGGGAGAAATGTATTGGAAACAGCGTGCTTTCTTCGCTGATTCCTGGGGACTATTCGAGTGCAGAACTGTTAACGGTCTGGCTCCCATCTCTGCCACCTGGAACCCAGAGCTGCTGGAACTTCTCTCGGCGAGTTTGCAGGTACGCTGCTGTGTTCACGGGGCGCTGCTTCAGCCACGTGGCGCTGGAGCGCCGTGGGTGGGCTTCACGTGGGATTTCCTGCTTGGGTTTCTTCCCCTCAGGGTCTTCCAAGGGAAATGTAAAGGGGGAGAAGGTACGGCTGGGATGGCGTGTGCTCTGCCAGGGCTGCCGGGGGAGTGATGCCAGCGAGACCTGCGTGGCTTCAGTCCCTTCTAAAACCCATAGTTGACTTTTCTGCTTGGTGGCAGGTGCGAACCTCCTAAAGCTTTCCAGATGGTGTTAGACTCCAACTGCTTTATGTTCTCGTTTTGGTGTTGGAACCCCACACTCAAACCTGTACCTGCAAATAGAAAAGTGACGGAGGCTTCAAGATAGTGCCTCAGCTGTCGGGGGGGGGGGGGGGGGGGGCAGCCATGTTCCACAGGGACCGTCAGTCTTGTGGGCTCTGGGGCACTTGCCGTGTCATCTAATGAGAACGCCAACCTTTTTTCTTTTAATCTCACCCACTGGGCTGTGACGTTGGGACTGAAAGGCGTGTGTTTTTGCAATCACTGCAGTTTTCCTGCAGAGGAAGAAGAGATTTACTTCGGGAAGACAGGGCAGCGTTACTGGGTGGGTTTCACCTCGACAGCAGACTCTGTCAGGCCGCACGTTGGTTTTCTTTGGAACTCAGAAACCTTTCTTATTGTCAGTGCATACATAAAATCTTCCGATTTATAGCACCCACCCAAGGCAGGGGCCACTCAATACTCTTCAAGCACTTCTGTACGCAGTGGGCACACTCATGGGTCCAGTATGGAGTCTCCACGCCTCACAGCAGAAGGAAAGGGCGTGACTGTGGGGTCTTCATTTCACTGAGACGTAGAGCACTATTCTAGAACTACATCTGGTCTCTCTTGAGCGGACTTCTGCTCTGCAAGGCGTCTCCATTCTCTGCTAGACTACAGTGCAATGGTGGACTTCTGGATACACGCGGGCAGATGGACCCTCTGGTTAGCACATCTCTGAGTACCATGAGCTCATCCTCCGAGGGTACACCTGACAGACGCAGCCTGCCACACCAGCAGGTGAAGGGGGTGGACACTTGGAGAGTATGCCTCTAGTACCTGCAGCTCACAGCTAGCTCAGCTCACAACTGCTTTCACCTGGATGTCAGTGGGTCAAGTTCTAGCTTCTTGAGCACGGCTGTCACGTGTTCTGAAACCCAGCCACGATTTTGCCACTACCTAAGTGTTATAGTCCCACAGCAGTGTCCCTGTAATGGATACTATAGATTAGATAACACCAATCTTCATCTGTACATACATATAGAGATACGATCAATCATAAAAGCGCTTACAATAGCGTATCTCTAAGACCTGGCATTTGGTATTGACCACTTTATCAGCAAATCATCAAAGGTGATAGTGACAGGGATCAGAAAGTAGGCCTTGAACGTAGACACATCTGGGATCATCACTCTGGCTCTGACGCTGACCTAGCTGGTGGCCTTAGGCAAGTTGCTACATGTCTCCCAGTCTGGATTTCCTCATCTCTGAAGTGAATGCCCAAACAACAGACACCGGATTTAAACTAACACTGATTATAACCTGGAGTGGAAGTGAGAATTAAATGAAATAAGACGTCATTGCAAGTGGCTCAGAGAGAGCCTGGCACACAGTAGGCGCTCTATACATGTGGCTGTTAGCACTACAGTGAATGAGTAAGCTCCATCTATACTTTCTTTAATTACCTTCTTCAGGGATGGCAAGAAAAATATGTATATAATTATTTCAATAATGTATATGAGTTATGGATTGCTTTTATCCCAAAATAATGAG